CCTCCGAAGGAAGCAGCTGCAGCAGCACCAGCAGCAGCAGCAGCAGCAGCGAAGCCACCACCGCCTGCAGCATCAGTCCCAGCAGCAGCAGCAGCAGCAGCAGCAAAACCTTCACCTGCTGCTGCTGAATCCTCAGGGCCCCCGAAGCCGCTGCTGCCTGCAGCAGCAAAAATACCCGTGGCACCGAAGGGGCCCCCCGGGGCCCCCGAAGGGGGACTGGGGGCCCCCCCACCCCCCAAGGGGCCCCCCTCTCTCCTCGCTATTAAACCCAAGGGGCCCCCCTCTCTCCTCACTATTAAACCCAAGGGGCCCCCGGGGCCCCCGGGGCCCCCTGATGCGAAGGAGGCCCCCAAAGTAGAGGTTAAAGCTGCAGCAGGAAAGGCAGCAGCAGCAGCAACTAAACCTGCTGCAGCAACAAAACCTGAAGCAGCAGCAGCAAAAACTGCAGCAAAACCAGCAGCAGCAAAACCAGCAGCAGCAGCAGCAGCAAAACCAGCAGCAGCAGCAGCAGCAGCAGGGAAACCAGCACCGAAGAGGTCGCTAGCTGAGCTGCTAGCAGCAGATAAGACAGCAGCAGCAAAGAAGCCTGCAGCAGAAGAGGAGGGTACAGGGGGGGCCCCCAGCGGGGGGCCCCCCAAAGCAGCAGGTGCTGCTGCTGCTGCTGCTGCTGCGAAGCCTAAAGCAGCAGGAGGTGATGCAGCAACAGCAGAAGCAGCAGCAGCAGCAACAGCAGCACTCTTAGATTTTGCTGCAACAAACCCTGAGGACTTTGCTGCTGCTGTTGGTGCTGCTGCTGCTGCTGCTGCGAGGATAGAAGTATTAAAAAAAGTACAAACAAAAAACCCTAATATAGCGGATGCAGTTCTTGCAGCAGCACTCAAAAAATTACCCGGTCAGGCTCAGGGTTTAGGGTTTAGGGTTTAGGGTTTAGGGTTTAGGGTTTGGGGTTTAGGGTTTTAGGGTTTAGGGTTTAGGGTTTAGGGTTTAGAATTGCGTTCGACAGAGCCAAAACTTCTTCTCAGGCTGCAGCCCGGTGTAGTGGTCAACTCTCAAGGGTTTAGGGTTTAGGGTTTAGGGTTAGGGTTTAGGGTTTAGGGTTTAGGGTTTGTGTTTTTTTTTAGCTGCTGAGGCTGCATTCGTATCGCTGCGTATATACCTGGGGGAGCGGTGGGAGCAAGAACGCAGACGCCTCGTTGCAGGCTCTGCTGCTGCTGCTCCTGCTGCTGCTGCTGCTGCAGCTCCTGCTGCCTCTGCTGCTGCTGCAGCAGCAAAGTCCCCAGGGGGCCCTACAAAGGCAGCAGCGGGGGCCCCCGACGCCCCCAAGGACTCTGGGGGCCCCAAGGGGGCCCCCGGGGCCCCCAAGGCATCTGAGGGTCCTAAGACCCCTGGGGGCCCCCAGGGGGCCCCCGGGGCCCCCAAGGCATCTGGGGGGCCCCCGGGGGGGCCCCCAGGGGGGGCCCCCGGGGGCCCCAAGGAGGGGGGGGAGGCACTGAGTGTTGAGGCTGTAGCGAAGATGGCGATGGCAGCAATACCGAAAGTGTGTGATATAAAGGGGTGGCAAGAAGCCGCAGATATATATGCAGGCCAGTAAACCCTAAACCCTAAACCCTAAACCCTAAACCCTAATGGTGGATGGTGGTTGGTGTATAGAAAGTAATGCGGATGATTTAGTCCCGTAGAAAACGAATAAAAAGAGGGGTTAATGTCTAGGGTTTAGGGTTTAGGGTTTAGAGTTTAGGGTTTAGGGTTTAGGGTTTAGGGTTTAGGGTTTAGGGT